ACAGGTTCATCGTCAATGATTATTTCACAAAATTAAAAGCAGTGCTTTCGGACCTGGATCTTATGGACAGCCCACACAAAATTTTTAACGTTGATGAAAAGGGCTGTAGACTAAGTTTACACCACCAACAAAGTGTGCTAGCGAAAAAAGGCGCGAAACGTGTACACCTGGTAGCACCAGAGCACGGAGAAAACGTCACGATTGTTTCCTGTGGCAATGCTTCTGGTAATTCCATTCCACCAACAATTCTATTTAAAGGGAAAAGACTTAAACCTGAATGGAAGGACACATTACCTCCTGGATCACTGGTCCTGATGACCCCTAAAGGTAGCATGACTATTTCCACATTTTGCACCTGGATTGAACATTTAGCTAAATATAAACCACCCGGGAAATGTCTGTTAATTTTTGATGGAGCCAAATGTCATTTGGACTATACCATCGTTGATGTAGCAGAAAGACATGATGTTGTACTTTTTTGTTTACCAAGCAACACCACCCATGAGCTACAGCCCATGGATAAATCGGTATTTCGCTCTTTTGAATACCACTGGGATGATCAGGTTCTCCAATATTGGACAAAATACAAAGATCGAAACATCACAAAGCAGCGATTTGGAGAAATTTTTTCCATTGTGTGGGATAAAAGCTTAACACCAGCTAATATAAAGGCAGGTTTTACCGCAACCGGTATTTTTCCGTTTAATCCCGAAGTAATACCGGAAGTGGCATTTGCTCCTAGTGAAGTTACCCAAATAAGAGAAGAACCAAAAGAACCCTCTGTCGAACCCACCGGACCAGCATCCCCTAAAGCAGGGCCATCAAATGTCCGAAAAAGACCATCAAATGTCCGACAAAGACCAAGAACTCCAAGTAGCTCTTCTGATGATGACAGCTCAGACAAAGAAAACACGCCTCCATGGCTGGACACCTCCAATTCAGACGATGATTTGTCTCCATTACAAGACACTCTTAACAACTCATTTACAGAAATGTTAAAAACACCGGAAAAAACCGTCAAATTAGTAACAAATGTTCGGCAAAAAGCCATAAACAGTCGAGCCCTTGTAGTAAAAAAAAAAGTTTTTGAAAAAAACGAGATGGCTAAAACATCTAAAGTTACGTCGACACCCAAAGCTACAACAACATCTAAAGTGACGACCACGAAAAAAAAAGCAGATGAGGAAGACTGGTATTGTGCAGTATGTCAGAGGTGTGAAATTTCCGACATGCGCCTGTGCATTGTCTGTAAAAAATATATTCACGAGGATTGTGTAGGTTTAACCAAGGACATAAAAGACATTTTCATTTGTCCAATGTGCCAGTAATCACTTCTAATAAATTGTTTTAAATATTTTTTGACTTTACATACACACCGTATTGCTAACACCATAGGTGCCATATTGCCAACACGGTGTTGGCAATATGACCAAATTCACTTTTTTTTTTTTAAATTAGGTAAAAAATATTTCAAACCAATTTTCACCGACGTGTATTTTTTTATAGGTTCTAAACATGTTGAACTTTGTTGTGGAACACATGCCGTTCCTTATTATTTAATAGTGTCTTGTTAAAAAAATCAAATCTCTTAGGGTGGGCATATTGTATTCACTTACCTTATTTTCAATTTAAACAAAAAATGTGTTCGTTTCATTTGTGAAATTCTACGTCTATATTTCTATTAAATGCATTCTTTATTGCTATTTTTACGTTTTCATGCGAATTTTGCATAATGGCGGCGATATATGAACGGTGATTTGCTTAATAAATATGGCGCGATTGTAATACAATGACTTTGTCTAATTAGAAACGTTATACAATATTTTTTGTATGATGGCAACTATGTGTATTCAATGGCCATATTACATTAAAGCGCGTTGGAAAACTCTTTAATAGAACAGATGTATCGCTTAGCGTGTATGTTGTGCTGCACTAAACAACTATTCAGTTATATTATGTGTTTCAATTATCTGCAGTATAAAATTCCATCCATGTGATTGTTAACCTGTAAAAGTTGTTCACTTGTGTATGCCGCAAGAAGTAGTAGTTCAAAGATGTTCAAGATAGTGGAAACTGTTGAAAAGGGCAGACAGGAGTTGACGATTCCATCTTTGAGTATTTGCTTTAGTTCGTTAACAAAACTCTGCAAATAAGTATACAGGGTGACAATTTGAAAACTTACCACCCCCCATATCTTAGTAAATAAACGAGATATTAAAAAAAATCAAAATCCGTTTGGGTAATTCGGAGGGGGAATCACAATGACATAGTTGGCGACGCACCCCCTCACACCCCCTGCGCCCCAGCCACCCCAACTTTTAAATCTTAAATAGTGACCCCCATGTGTGATACGTCGTTGGAAAGCTCTGAAAAAATGCTTTCCAACCATACCAAATAGCATTACATTTAGGTTAGTAATTATCGTGCAAATCAAAAAATAAACTAATATGATACATTTGAAATCTGTCATATTTCAAACGCAACTGGCGAACATAGACGAACTAAGACAGAGAATAATTCAAGAATGTCGAAATATTGCAAAACCAACATTGGAAAGGTTCGACAAGAGTTTGAGAATAGATTATAACTGGCGATCAAAAATGAGTTGCTGTCAAGTCGGCTTTGGAAGTTCAAGTTAAATACGATTTTCCATATTTATTTTTTGATTTGCATGATAATTACTAACCTAAATGTAATGCTATTTGGTAATGGTTGGAAAGCATTTTTTTCAGAGCTTTCCAACGACGTATCACACATGGGGGTCATATTTAAGATTTAAAAGTTGGGGTGGCTGGCGGCGGCAGGGGTGTTGAGGGGGTGCGTCGCCAACTATGTCATTGTGATTCCCCCTCCGAAATTACCGAAACGGATTTTTGATTTTTTTTAATATCTCGTTTATTTACTAAGATATGAGGGTTGGTAACGTTCAAATTGCACCTGTATTATATATTGGCAGGTTTCCCAATGCCACTGTATATTCCTACGACTATTGGTTTAGCTTCTGGGATTTCATGAATGTTACATAAAATTGGCCAAAATTCGCACTTTGAACTTTTATATATGGGAAGCCCGTCAATGTTCACTTTTAGGGAAATGGATTCTATATGAGAATAGTTTTCCAAACAAATTATTAAATTTGGCGTAAGACCATTGTGCCAGTAAGTTTCATTTTCAAGTGTTACCAGATTATCTACTTTTATGGGAGTATTTAGAAATGTCCTTGGATCCTTAGGAAGAAGGTTAGGAATAGCTTGGTTCCATATTTTAAAAAGCTCTCTTAATGCAGAATGAGTAATGTTGAAAGACGTTGCCCATATTTTAAGTTTTTCCTTTATTTTAATCTTCTTGTCAATTTCAGAAAGCGAAGGTAAGAAATTTTCCTCATCGGTATCCATCATGTATTCATTGATTTCGTTAGCACTATTAAGGTCGCATTCCTTTTCTGTACCTTGTTGGATTTCAGTTTGCGATTCAATATTACTGCAGGAGGAAGTTGTAGGTACTACCGATAAACCTTCTACTTCTAAGTTAGCCTCGGACAGGTAACTGCAATGCTGTAGAATTCTGTGGTATTTCTTTTTGGCTAATCTTTTAAAGTGCCCACTCTTTTTAATTTTTTTCCACTTAGACACAGCCGATTCCATTTTCTAAAAGTTACTAAGATAATAGTTCCATAGAAATGTTGTGTTATATGGCAGAGTTTTCGATAACTACATTTTCATTGTAGAAGTTCTGCATAAGGGAGTAAACTGTTGTAGTTATATGCTAACTATGAAATAGTTTTGTGTATATTGTATAATGTTTTTCCTCGTGTTTTTCAGTCTACAGTTGTATTATTTAGCATAAAGACCTTCAATATAACTTCTTATACAACTTCTATTACAACTATATTATAACGCAGAAATGAAAGGTATTAGAATAGCTATACAACTGCATTATAATGTTTATACAATTCTTTTAAAATGTAGTTATAACGGATTGTATAAAACGTTAAACAACTGTTACAGAATGTGTGCATTTGCAATCATTATTTGTTCTGTAACATGAGTTGTAAGAATATCTACACAACAGCTTTAAAGAAATTCGTCTTTTTTATGACAAAACTATCGTATCATCATGCCTTAAAACAATAAACGATTCTCTAAGTAGCGCTAGACGATAGTTATGAAATAATTCCGTTCTCTTGGGGGTTCTTTATTGTTAGTTGGGAATATACTCTGCACTATCTACTAATTTTTAATTTTTTATTTCGGTAAACTGAATATGAAGAGTCCTTTAATGTGTCAATGCGATCCATGAAAAAGTTGGTTTGCAAAGTTAATCATATGAAAATTAGGGACCATAAAGCCAAAAATGACCCATTCCTACTCACTCTCCCCTAGACTTGTAAAAATTAATAAAATTATCAAATGTACAACTACAAATGACATTTATTTAATTGGGAAATATTTTTCTGTGTTTAAAAATAGTCTTCCATTTGGCAACTCCAGATTATTTTATTGTGGGAAAGTTGAGCAACTTGGTGATTCAGTGAAATTGTTTTCTATCGGTGGCATACTAACCAAAGGGCTGTTTTTTGAAAACAATTTTATAGCTTATATTAGTCATGTTTCCTAATCATTTATAATACAGTAGAAACTCCTTTAACGGAACCAAATAGGACTGAGGGTTTTTGGATAGCCAATATTTCAGATAATCCTTATTTTAAAATTCTAAGTGAAACAGTATATAGCTATAGGAAATGTAAAAATATGCTTAATAAAACCTTCAAAATGTCATTTTTAATACATCGATTAGTATGTGCATGTGCAAAATTATAAATTCGCTGGGAGCTCATTAATAAAAGTACCATACTGTTTTTTTTAATCTTTAAAAAAATTCAATTTTCTTTTGTTTTCTGTCATTCTGACTGTTTAAATTAAACGCGGTTTTGATTGCAATACCTACCAGTAACTAGGAACTTACATTTGACATTCTGTTCTTTCTTCCTGTCTTCATTTGTTCCCTAATAAATACTTCATAAACCCTGATAGAATATTTTAAAAAATGTTCTGCATAATTCTAGAGTATGCTGTGATCGAATTTGAACTTCGGGACGTAGTGTATGTATCCAGCTGCCCCATAGCTTGGATAAATGATACGAATTGTTTGTGACCTGCCAAAAAAGGAATCGAGCGCAAGGCAATTATTAATAACATGAGACCAGAAGACGATTGGCTATGTTTAGAGGATATTAAGATATTAGGAAAATACAGTAAGCATTATTTATCGTAGAACCATGGTATATTTAATATGTTTCTTAAGGTACATATAAAGAAGCTCTTGATAAAGAAAAACAAAAAAGCCAAACAGATGATAGCAGTAGTGATCTTGATGATGTAAGAAATTGTAAAAGAAAAGTGCGACCAAATGATACAGGGATGATTCAATTTCACCTCCCCCAAATGAAACGTCTGAAGGTAAATATTTGCATTTTAATTATTATCGATATGTATTAAATACCTGTTATCAATTTAATCAAATTCCTTTTTTAGATTTGCCAGACAGTGATCAATATTCTAGCGGAGGAGAAAATGCAATTAGTAGGTAATCACTTAACCATGAGGCCCAAAATAATAATTTTAATATTGAAGACATTCTTGCCAATGCAAATATTGAAATAATTGACACTGATGCAGACAACACTTTAGTTAATAGTCAAATTAGTATTAAAAGTAAAGATTAAACAAGACTTAATTTGTGAAAGGTTGGAACACTTGGAGAAAATGATGGCATGTAACAGTGCAGTAGATGTGGGAATTCCGCGTAATTGTAAAGGGATATCTTGATAGGAAAGGGGTAAGAGTGGCAAAATTTAAAAATAATAGGCCCGGTGTTGATTGGGCGAATTTGTTTTGTGCCCGACAAAAAGACCTTCTGACTGAGAGATTGTGCGAGAATATCAAACGGTCTCGTGCAAGCTGTGACTTGGGAAACAGTAAATAAATACTTCGATAATCTCCAAACCAACTTGCAAAATGTTGAGCCTGAGTCCATCATTAATTATGATGAAACATGCTTTGTTGATGATCCCGGACGGAAAAAAGTCATAGCCATGGCCAAACTCTCAAGTTACTGAACAAATGGTACGGCTTCCTAATGACAATGGTAGTTATTTGGCAGTTAGTTTGTTACACAGTGATAGTAATATACATCACAAATTGCAAGACTAGAAATACACAAAAGAAGGAAGGATCGGTGAATTATAAAGAAGCTGTAAGACGAATTATGTCTACAATAATGTTGAACCAACTTGCCGTACTATTTAGTTTTACGGGACACAAAGGAAAACAAAAATTTCACGAAAAAACTTTGGCTGGAGTTATTATTAGTTATTTATCTATTAAGGGCATATAATAGTGATGTTTATATTCTCGCGGGCGACCGAGTATAAACATCAGTTTATGCCCGTGGTACATACACAATTTTATGTTTTACAAATAGTTTTCTTCGTCAAAATTCGTTTACAAACTAATTCATTATGTTTGATCGAGTATGCGTGGTTCGAATTTGTTAATGTGATTGAAACCATCCAAACGTCAAACGTAATTTTATGTCTTACTAACCTATCGTAGCACATTTTATATCTGTGATACGCGGGCGCGGGCATAAAGTACCACTTTATGCCCTAGGGCATTAAGTATCACCATAGTAACTCATTTATACTTAATGACAAAACAAACAAAAATGTGCAGGTCATTCAAAATTAAAAACGTCAATTATTAATTGTCAATACCTACTAAATGACAAGATTGGCCTTATTTCGTATAGTTTCTGGAACTTCTTGCTCATTCACGATGAATTGAATTATTTAAAATTACATATTACATATTTCTGCATCTACCTGCCTCTAATTCTACATTTTAGATTCTGTAGCATTGTGCCATTCTAAGGCATCTGATGAAGATTTATTTAAGAAACACATAGAAAATGAAATTGTCCTTTGGCTGAGTAAGGCCGCCGAGCGGCAAAAAAAAAATTTAAAACAAACTTAATATAAGTACCTACTTCATTTCATTTTTATACTTAGTTTCTTTTAAAGTTTTTGTGAAATAATACATTTTTTTTTTAATTAAATGACCACACCACAATTCACTATTTATTATGAATATTTGGAGAACGAGATTTATAAATTCTAAGAATATATTTACAGATATTCCTAGAATAACCATTTTATATATTTAGCAGAATATTCCTGGAATGTTCTGTGGGCGGACATAAGATATACTATGAATATTCTCTAAATATCTATTATATTTACGGTATATTCTAAGAATATTTAGATATTCCTATAGGAATATTCTTAGAATATTTTTAGAATAAATGGGAAGGTGAGTAGTAAATTTTATAAAATCGTTAGTATGCATTTGTGCACAAAAGATCCTTTGTATACTTAAGTTTTCCTCGTGTGTAGTAAAATTAGGCGTTTTCGAATATAATCACATGTATTTAGCAATACAAATGTACTGTCTTATACTGACCCGTGCAATATTTGAATATTAGAACAGTTTACGAAGTAAAGTGTGAACCCAGGCAACGACCTTTTGTACCATTCGTAACCTCAAACAAATCCGAGAACAAATCATATCGAAAGTGTTGCATGGCCGTTTGATCAGTCGACAAATCGTTGCATCTGGACCATTAGGATCGGGCTTATAATCGTAACTTCTGATTGAATTGCTGTTTCTCCTATCAACCGATACCTGCACTGATTCATAAGGGATGTATGGAATGGATCGAGTATATGAGGAAATTTAAAATTTCAGGTTGCTGTCAATTTTATTTAGTGGATAAAGGGCAATTCATAGTATCAAGGTAACTAGAACACATTTTAAGAAGTTCCGTTTGAAGAGCTCTATACATTGGTGGAGTTCGAGAACAATTTGGATATGGCAACCAAGGAGAGTTTGGTAATTTGATTCTTCATCTTATAAAATCAAAATAAATCTATTTTAGATTGCTTATATATTGAAAGAATTGGGGGGAGAGCCTTCAAAGATAATGTTCATAGGTGCTTGAAAGCCATTTACAGCAATGAAATGGCCAAATCATGTTCGTGGTTGGGGCAGCGTGGAAATTTCAAAATTAAAAACACCCAAATCATGGAGATAATAAAAAGTAAGACTTTACAAGTTTTATAAAGCTTATATATGAATTGTTACAGATATCATGAGTCAACATTATCAATCATTGACGTATGCTGTCTTCGAACGTATCGTGAGTGAATGGTTCAGGCTCGCATCGTCGCGAATCAAAAGTAATAAGAAACCGCAGTGAAGTAAATGCTGCCTTACACATTATATGTAAGCTGTATATATTTTGATAATATGTATTTTGTATCAATAAAGAGTATGTAAGACATAAAGTATCTGTAAAAAATTACCTAAAATATATGTAAAATATACATAAATGGTATATTAAGTATAGTATAAATGTATGTATGACCCTTTATATAATATCTATATATTTTGGAGGAAAAAAAATGCGGACATTAATATGAAAAATATACCTCAAGTATACCTTAAATTGATGTAAAGATAGATGGAGAGAGATATAATTAATACATAGAATATATGTCAAATTGTTAACTGGGCCATTTCAACAAAAGGTGTTGTAAATGTTGTAATATCAGCTGGTTTCCCTTTTCCACTGTAAATACCTATAACCATAGGGCGTAGATGGGGAATTTCAAATACATTGAACAAAATTAGCCAAAATTCATCTTTGGCACTTTTATAAATGGGTAAACCATCAATGCTTATGGTTATATATAAAGATGAAAAGCTTTGTATTGCATTAAAACACTTCTGTAGACATGCAACCACTCCTTTGATGCCGATAATAACCTTGATCCATTTTTGTAACATTAACTTTTCCAAGTGGCGTTTCTAATAATGTCACGATGCACGATGTTTTATGTTGAAGGTGTTTGCCGAAAGTTTAAGGTTATTGCGAAATTCTTCGTTTCTCTTTTCAATATCAGACTTATTATTATTACTAGTTGTTTCGTTAGGATTATTATCTTCCTCCTCTAATTCTATTAGCCAGTTCATTTCTGCTTCCTGGTGGTCAGCACACTTTTCTATATTGAGTGCAGGTTCTGGATTCAAATTGGCCATACAATTCTAAAATACAAAGACATAACATGAATTTAGTCAGATGCATAAGGAAACCAGTTTTACACAGGAGTCCACTATTACCTGCCCCCAGAATTTAAGAGTTTAAGGGCCGGTTTATCAATCTAATGCTAAAGTGGCAGTTAGTTAACAGACAGATAAGATATAAGTTGCTGGTAAAGTATCAGTTAGCATAATTGGGTTTATCATTTTGTATTTAAGGTGTTGTTAGCTAACAGACAGAATTTGTTTTAACAACTACGATTGGTAACACTGCTTTGTAAATAATAGATCAAATAACCCGTAGTAGTTCAGAGAACTGGTCTGTGGTTAACGTCGTATTTGTTTTTAATTTTAAATTTTGTGTGTATCGGTGTAGAGTATTATTTCATTTTGTGTTGTTTGATTTACATTAAAATGAGCGAGAAGAAGAAAAAGGAACGATCTGCTAACTTTTCACCAACAGAGATTGATCTGTTGGTGAAACTAGTTTCACAACATGCCAAAGTGATTGAGTGCAAGAAAACAGACGCTGCGACGTGGAAAGATAAAGAAAATGAGTGGGAACAACTTGCACTTGAATACAATTCTGCGAATAGCACTTGTCCGCGAAATGTCAAGTCTTTAAAAACCAAATATGAATGTTTAAAAAAGGACATTAAAAAGAAGGTTGCGTTACAGAAACAGTCGTTATATCAAACTGGTGGTGGGGCCTCCAAAGATATCATTTTTACCCCAACAGAGGAAATTTTAATTAGCATAATTACATTTTCGATTCAAGGACTTTCTTCAAGAAGCGATTGTGATCAAGGTATAGTTAACTTAAAATTTCCGCAAAGGTATAATTTTAATTTTGTAGTTATAAATAATGAAAATATTAAACACTCAGTAGTGGTATCTGAACCGCCAGATGTGGAGTTGGATATCGTTGAAGACATTCCGATCATGGATATAGATGTTATATTAGAATCGGTAGGCTTAAATTATTTTTACATACTCATTTCCAATAACATAAAATTACAGGATACCACACTACTTCCCCCAATGCCATCGGTCGCTAGTACTTCACAGAATTTTGTTGCAGTAGAGCTTCCATCTACGTCAACTACCGAACCAACTGTAGAAACAAATTGGGCGAAGTGGAATCCATCAAGCCTTCGGAAACCAGTTTCCAAAAGCTTAAAAGGTTAGGGTTTCTATTTGAATTAAGTTACATTAAAGTAACATAATTATATTTTAGTTACTCCTAAGAAGAATAAGATGTGGGCCACAAGAAAAGAAGCAATGGAAAATATCACAAATCTTTCTGCAAGTAAAGGAGATTTGATCAAATTGCAGTGTGAGTCCATCATACTAGAAAATGACCAAAAGAAAATTCTTCAAGAAATAAATCTGAAGAAAGCAAAGCTGGAATTACAATCAATGAGATTAGATGTGAAAAATAAATTGATTGAAAAAAAAATTAAACTCGAACAATTAATGTACTTTCGAAATAGAAATAAAAAGTTATAAATTACATTCTATTAAAATAATGAATTAATTCATTTCTAGTACTCTCATTTTCAATGTCATTGTTGTTTTCTGCTGGAATCACATTTTCAATTAATTGTGCTACTTCTTCATCGACCAATACTTCAGGTTCATTATTTACGATTGCTATATTGTGTAGTATTGCGGTTGCCATTATAATGTCTTGTACGGTGGGTAACTGCAAGCGT